ACACACACAAGTACATAATCAGCTAAGAAAAATGAATTACAAAATGCAAAAACAAAAAGGACAAAAGATTTGTTAACGTTTCTTTGCATTTGGAAACTTTTAAAATCCGGACTTGGACAAATGGGTTTGATATACATTTCACCTTGGTTGAATACAAATCAGGGCAATATGAACAAATGTGTTGTGGTTTGCTTAAAAAATGCTTACTTTCGATGAGTTATCCTGATGAATTGATACCATAAGAATATGATGCTTCATTTCCTACAAATGATTTTTGGTTCGATACTCTTTGAAGTAGCTTATTATAAAGTTGATGAGTATAAATGAAACCGGTAAGTGTAGCCACATATATTTATATTCATTATATAAAAATGGCTCATTTTTATTATATATAAAGAGGGTTATATACATACACATATATTTACATAGAGATAAGTATACATAATTAGAAGTAAATAAATTAATCTATAAGTTTATATGTAAAGGAAAAAAAGTAGTTTTTCTTATATGTGAAAGGAATTTAGCTTAGGGGTCCTCGGACACAACTTTAGGTTTTCCTATAGACACCATCGGCCGGAAGAAACCATTAGGTAGGCCAGAGCAGAGAATGGCTTCCGGTTGAAAATATTCCCGTTAAAATAGATTTTGTCCCTTTATTCGTGTAAGGGTTAAGTACCTGCTATTCTTTTAAGTGTAAACATTTGAGGAGGCGTGTTGAACAATAATGGTGCCCAACGTGTGGCCCATCTCAATGGAGTTTGATAGTTTCCCATTAACGTGTTGAACCTGATAATTTTTTTCAACCATTTCATCTAGTAATATTATTGATTGTTGTACATTTTTGAAATCTCCCCTCATAACATTTTCATTGTTAGCTTAATTGATTATATGAATATATATTAACCTATTTTCGTTCATTTATGTCTTTTTTTTTTAATTTTGGATATAAACGAATGTGTTCGGGAACTGACAACACAACTTGACTGGAAATATCGCCCAACCTATTGACAATTAAGCGAAAAAAAAAAAATTTGAAATTCGTTACTTACTCACTTACCTATAAACAATCCGAAGGCCCTAAGGGTCTCCTTTTTTTTCAGCAACAGTAAATTTTTTTTGTTTTTAAATTTAGTAGTACATTAAATTTTTGTTTCTTGGACCTAAGTATTTTCTCCGAACTTTTTATTATTCACGACGAATTCGATAGGTATTGTCTTATTGCTTATCTTATTTATGTGATATACAGTAGGCGATAAGTGATTTTCAACTCGGCTTTTGTGTATAATTTAATCAATTGACGTAGACAAAAAGACGGAAGAAATGAATCAAATGCATTGAAATTTTCGCCTTCATACACATGTTAACGAGTAATCTTGTGTGGCTGCATTTTTTTCGTGATCTTTAACTGACGTTGATCAGGCTAACATGAGAACTAGATCAAAGCAGAAATACAAACATAAAATTTATGACCTTTCTTGTTGCCTTTTTTTTGTTATTTGTGTCAATTTAAAGAGACATATATTAATCGTCAAAAGAGTTACGCGAACAATAGTGTTACTTGCATACAGGAAATTTTATTACTTTTTATTGAAAAAGAAAGTAAAATTAATCTAGGCCGAAAAAAAATATCTACAATTTACATTAACAATTAAAGAAAGAAAAAAAACGTTGTTACAAATTTAATAAGTCTAGAAAACTAGTTAGCTCAGCTAAGGCAACTACGTAAGTCTCGACAGTCTACTATCCTCACAAAACGACACTGAACACTGGCGCCAAATATATTAAAGCTTATTTTCGATCTTTCGATTAGTTGGGCAGGCATGAAGAAGTTGCAGACATCGTGGCGTAAACATAAGTGGCGTCCAACATGTGACCCATCTCAATGGAGTTTGAGAAAGTAGTTTCCCACTAATGTGATTGAAACTGACAAATTTTTTCAACCATTACCTCTGAGTTCTCCCAAGTCCGATTCGTTGGTGCAAGTTAGCGATCCCTTAACGTCTACAAAGAATGTTGGCGTTTCTGCTACTGTTGAGGTGGTCGGTAACATAAAAGTTACAAAAAAGCCGGAAAGTGAAGAAGAAAATGATGATAATAGTAAATCGTCCTCTCCTCCTGGCTGTTCGAGTGTGAACGTCGGTCGCCAAACTGGGCACGTCGCACAAGCTGATCGTGCAAGTGTGGTTATGTGTTCTATATTCTCCCCACCTCAAAACTCCTCAGCCCTAAACCCTACTGCTCCTAGTACAGATGACAATTGTTTGGCATTGTTCCTCTTTTGCCATATTGTCATTACTAGCTCGCTGGTTTTCTCATTATATCAAGCCCTTTTAGTATCGTGCAAAGGTGAATCGAAAATTCATTTTAGCCGACATGGTGCAGTATTTGGCATTGGCTAATTCATTTATAAATAGCTTTGGAACTATCGTTGTGAAGGTGTGATTTAGGCTCAAGCCACTCACCATTTGACATCTATCGTAGTTAATGTGAAGTAGTGCTCTATGCTCATTCGAGAAAAGAAACCTAATTTTAGACGAATGTTACTTGCTATTTTACCTATAAACAATCCGAAGACCCTAAAGGTCTTCTTTTTTCTCACCAACATTATATTTCATTCAATTAAATTTTTGCACTTTTCTTTTTGCGCAATTGGTGTATCTCATTTTTATAATTTTTTGATGTCAATTTATGTAAATATATATATATATTTATACATATACATATATGAAATTTTTTTTTTTATATTTAGTAGTACATTAAATTTTTGTTTCATTTTTTTTTTTTTTTTTGATTTTTTTATATCTTTATGCCATAGATATATAATATCCATACACTATATAAATCAATATGTCATATTGTATTGTCAGTTCAGTAACACATATATTACTATATATTGTATCTCAGTTGATTCACTTACCTTCGTTTGTGATCCATAATTTTAATTCGAATTAATTAATTTCAAAGTTATTTCAGTTCAATTCAATTGTAAATAACAACTATGGCGACAGGATCCATAGACAGTGTTATTCAGCCAGAATTGGTCAATAGCAGTTTGACACACTGTATTTCATGCCATAAAAAAAACGAAAGCCAGAATTTTTAATGAAACTTTGTCTATTCCTTCCGTTTTACAAAAGATGTAAAAATTTGCAAGGTTTCCACTTCTCAATTAAGCATCAACAAAGTAGTTAGAATGCATTGCTCGATATGTCTCGTGTTCATTCCGAAAACATAGAAGAAGTTAATTGTTTTTAATTGGAGAACGGTTTTTTAAAAGAATTTGTCGACTCCGTCGAAATTGATATTCTGATGCATTTCAATCCCAACGATACGTGTCTTTAAGGACTCGTTTTCAGTCTAAAGTAGATGATTTTATTTTGACATGGTGATTCGAGACGGTTTTATTTTCAAGCGAAACGAATACGCTACGGGACAGTTCAAGAACAGAATTCGTGGAAGTTATGAGTTCCATCAGATCTTACCAATGATATAATTGAACATGCGCATGAGCATCCTTTGAGTGCTCATGGAGGCATAGCCAAAACCATATTTCGGTTAAAAACATTTTGGTGTACCTTAGTGAATTAAAACTGACAACGCCCTATTCAAGAACTTATTAGAAAATTATGATGTTCTTCATAGGTTTACGTCTTTTTATTCTCCACAAGCTAATGCGTGCGAATGAGTAAATCGATCGGTTTTAGCCGCCATCAGAGCGTATATTAAACTCTCTCAACGAGACCAGGACGAAAATTGATCAATCATTAATTCTTTCAGGAGAAGTGCTGTTTATTGAAGGATAGGGTTTAAACGGTACTATGTTCTGTTTGATCAAAATATACTAAGTAACAAATGATATGCGCTATTATGCAACCGCGATTTTTTAGAAGTCCGCCTTCTTCTCTTTTAAGAACTGGCGAGAAGGTACAGTTGATAAGAGAGAAGGCCTGCGAAATTATTAGAAAAGCATGTTTTTAATGCATATTTATTTATTTATTTATTTATTTATACTTGAAATTCAACTAAAGAAAATTACAGTTGAATTCAAGACATGTGAATTGAAAATCTTATACTAATAGTTTTAAAACTAGTTTATAATAAACAGAAAGAAACAAAGAAGAATAATAATAAGCAAGTAAGTTCAAAAATAAATTAAAAAATGAAAAATAATAATTCATGTATAAATAAACAAAAGGATAGGAAAAAAAGAGAAAAAACCATGTACACAGCTAGCACAGAAGTACGCTCGCAACAAGAACATATTCTGGTTGCAGGTGAACCCCTAAACCATTACAAACTTGCATAAACATGGCAACCAACACGTTAACAACAGAATATTATTTTAAATAAAAAACGAGGTATTAAGAATGAAATGTTAGTTGAAGTACGACATAGGTAAATCAGGCGTATGAAGCAAAGTTGCTTCAATAGACTTTAAAGTGTCCGATAACGGGAATAAGTGATAAACATCATTTAGGCTTCTGCAAACAACTCTGAGGAGGTTAGACAAAATAGTTAATTAGAATATATATCGCAGAAGCCAATACAATAAAAATGCGAAAAGATTCATCGCCAAGAACACTGTCTAACAAATCACTAAAGTATTAAAAACAAGACGAGAATGCATCTTAAATGGTTTTGAGTCAAGAGATATTTATATGGACGGAGTCAGAAATCCAAGTGCAGTCAATTATTATGACAAGTTATTATCGCAGCCGAAATTTCATGATAAATTTTTAAGTAATAAATTTTTGTGCCATTTAATAACTTGCTTTTATAAGAACGGTCATTTTTATATATATATTCTCTTTTTTAATCTCACCGGTCGTTAAGAGATTTTCTTCTATACGTGCAACAGAATCGTGGTCAGAAAAAAGTGGCTGCAGACAGTATACTAAGTTTTATTAAAATATCTGAAAATAGAGAGAGGGGTATAAAAAGATTAAGAACTATTTTCTTTCTTGAAGGGAAGGAGTAATACGGTTGCTTAAGATATTTGAGAGCTCTCCGTAAGTAATGTTCATCAGACATGCGTAAAGTGATGCCCATTAAAAATTATTAATTTTTCATTATCTTATCATGTTTGCGATAAAATGTTTGCGCACCAATACAATTAAATCCAAAAGAAATTTTGAAATATTTTGATCATAATTTATTCAAGTGCGCCGTTTCTGGATTGTATGTTGATCATAATTTATGCAGGTGCTCCGTTTCAGGATTGTATTTTGACCATAATTTATGCAAGCATGCCTTTTGACGTGTTGCATCAAATGAGAATGGTAAGCGGATGAAAAAGTCTAATATTAAAATATATTCGTCATCGTAGACTAAATGTACAATAATTTTTGTGATTCCTCTTATAGAGTAATAAATTACACTTTAAATATTCTATATGTACACATTCATTAGTCGCGCTTAAAGTGTTGAGCCGGACCCCTTTCTTAGAATTCTTAAAATTATGAATGAATATGAAATTAAGACAAAGAGTTTAGTTTGATTTGCAAAAAAAAAGGCATTAAGAATATTGTAAAACTTTTATCAAATTCTATGTTCTGCAGAAATTTGAGAATTAACTCAAAGTAAAAGGTAGGTCGATATCATTGCTTAATACTTTACGAAGAAGAATCAAGTTGGTCCCAACTTTCTTCTTATCACTCGTCTCAGATTAAATTATAATATCAGCCAAATCGACTAAGGTTTTCCTCCACAATTAGCAAAAAAACATGATATTTTCCTTTTTCAACAAATTATATAGTGATATCTTTTGAGCGTGAAAGTTAATTCCAAGATTTCTCTTTCCACATCAATTTAAAAAATGTGGTTGCATTTAATATTTATTTTTTTAATACAAGCGCTTCAATGTCACTATTACGCTCTTTTTTTGTACCTACTGTAGAGAGCTGTATTATCAACGATTTGTAAAGCGTTGAAAAGCCTTCCGGACATCTTTTACGATGTATACAAATGAACGGATGTTTGCTTAAGTTTTGCAATCAAATATAAGCGGAATCAGCAATGAGCATGTCTCACAAGTAATTTTTTTTCTCTCGCTTTTAAATCTTAAATACCATTCCCATTGGCCGCTGAACTGTTAATAACTACGCGCAGTAATTTTAAGAAAAGGAAGTCAAATTTCTTTAAAGCTTGTGACTCTTTGGAATGCCATAAGTCGGAGATTAGATAAGGACTTAAAAATAAACTGAGAAAAAAAAGCAAAAACAAACTGCGGTAAATTCTTTGTTACAAACAGCTATCTCTAAAAACGACAGCTTGAGTAATACTCTTAAAAACTTGACAAAGGTGCGTATTGTTTAATGTACCGTGTAAGACGAAATGACATCTGCATCTGTATGTATTGCATACAGCACAAACCAGTCTAGATTTTTGATCGGAGCATAAGTAGTTCTTACGAAAACGTCACACCATCTTGAAGATCCAAATTACAAATTTTTCTCAATTTTCAAAATATTTTTTCACATTTGCGCTAACACTTAATACGTAACAACGTGAAGGGTTCATGTAGTAGTTCACTTGCGTTTCATGATGGGCAGAACTAACTTTAAAACCCCAGAGATGATGATGCAAATGCCAGCAAATACGAATGGTATAGTATAACTGCTAGTCATTTGTAACATGACGCCAGCGGCAGTTGTGCCTAAACATACGCCTAAACCCATAGCCAAAGCAGTTAAACCGAAGGCATTTGTTAGTTTTTCCAATCCAACTGTACGGACGTAGATAATGGCACGCAATGTGGAATAACAAGCTGTCGTAAATGAAAAAGTACAAAAACATAAATCTATAAACATTAAATTGTACAATGATTGAAGAACTTCTGCTATCCAGAAATTAGATTTAAGAATTATGTACTACTTTTATTAGGATAATATAGAAATGTTAAACCTTAATAGAGATTTCAATGCTAGCTATTGCGGTTGTGAGATTTTTACAGAGAACTAACCACGGACGGAACGCACGAATAAATATATCTATATAACGGCATTAAAACGATGTCTTGATTAATAACTGTATATATCAACACAAATGCCGTCAGCCAACTGTTGCAACTAATACACATTTGTTCGGATAAAACTAACCTGGAGCGATACCGTAGCACGTAGCGTAGACAAATTGAAACCAAACTATATTCATGCCATAGAAAGCACTCACAAGTACGGCAACACCACCAAAGGCCATTCCACCGCCGCAGATAACTGTGGTATATTTCTGGAATTTGAAAGCTACACATCCGGATAATATGCGGAAGACAAAATTCGATAAACCTATAGTCGGAGTAATTAAGCGTGCATATTCCAAATCGATTCGCGCTCGTGCTATAAAAATAAATCGAAATTAAAAAGTAGTGGAGAAAAACGCACGTCTGTCTAAGACCGAATTTCAAATACTCTTCACCAAAATTCAAATCTAATTTCTAGCTACATAACTCGAAAATTTACTAAATCAACATTGCATACATCAAAGTTGATTTTACGCAAAAAATTGGTGGTAAGTATAAGAAGAAGAAAATAATGAAATAAATTACCCGTCGAATAAACAAAAGGTATATTAAAACCCATCGGAAAGAGGAAAGCTGAAGCTAGCAATAAATTGAATTGCTTCATTTGCAAGAGACGAAAGTCAAATAATAAACTGAAAGCCTTCTTTATTTTGGGATTTAACCAATTCCTCGGTGATAAAAAGGCAAGCAAGGGAAACTTATGGAGTGTTTTCAATTGTGCGTACGTGCGCCTCTTATCTCCGTAACGAGAGGCGCGATCGAGGTAAATAGTTGACAACGTATTTACAATAGAACGTGCCTAGAAAGTGTTGTACTTAATCAATGAGAAGAAGTTGTTTAACGTTAAGAAGTTTCAATTAGTTAACCGTTTTGCGTGTTGTTTCCAAAGTTACGTAAATGCTTTTCCTTTCCCTCAAAATGCTCATTTTACGACTGACCGATCTCTCAAGTCCAACACATTCGACAGTTCCCGTATAAAAAATGTCTTTTCTTTCTAATGGGTCCGGTTTAAGAACCAAGCCTTTTGGGAGTTGTGTTTCTTGTTTTTTCTTTCTCAAATATCCAGATAGAAAGGGGCAACATTTTGTAAAAATAGTGTCCTTTCTTTTGGAAGATACTGGTTGATATGTCTCTGAAAAAATAGAATGGTTTCACTTTAAAATATTGCTTTTTCTTAATTTAGGAAATAATTTACAATTACCCAACATTTCTTCGAAATCCTGATCAATTGTAACAATGTGACTCTCCTTTCTGTATGTTATAGTTGAAAATAGTTCAAGTTCATCGTCCAGTGACTCGCTCGAATCCGACTCTGGGAAATAAGGCTTAGAATATTGATTGGTATTTGAATATTTTATAACAAACATTCCTCCAAAAAATCTGAAGCCTTCTACGCTTTAATGGCCATTGCTTTTCTAAAGGTGTGCAAACTCACACGGTCGTATAAATTTAAACAGTGCGAATTCTAAGGCGTAACTAAAGTTAATTTTCAACTTACATCTCTAACTACACCTATTCGAGAAGGGGTGACTTCAACGTAGGTGATGCCTAGTATAAACACTGCGACCAAGAAACATGTGTGTACGCGAATAGTATTTCGCCAACCTATTTCAGGCAGAAGAATGCTATTTAAATAAGCGAATAAAGCAACGCCCGCCCCAGCTCCAGAACAAGCGATTCCATTGGCAATCGGCCGATATTTTTCAAAATAATAACCGACAATTAACTGACTAGAAACCCAAATCATACTTAAACTGGTACCACCTAAATAACAAATAATTGAAAAAAATGGTACATATATCACGAAATTAGACATAGCTACGTGCCTATCACACTGTAAAATGTAATCATCATAATATTATTACGACTGAAACTTGATATAGATAGAACAGTGATCGACGTTAAGCAACCCATCAAAGCTACTAAACGGAATCCATACTTATTGACAAAGGCACTAGATACGGCGCCAGCCAGAAAATAAAAACCTTTTTAAAATTGAAAAGAAAATGAGAATTAATCATTACATATACTTAAAAGCCTTACCAACTTGCAACGATATTATGAGTATCACTTTAGATCCGGTTTCATCAAAATCGTCAGCTATGTAGGGCAACATAATGCCTCCAGCAAATATAATACCGTCCACAACCACTTGGCTTAGAAATGACACAAACATAATAAGCCATCCATAGCCACCATCAGGTGGTATTACTAGATAAATCTTTCATAATGGTAATAATAATATAATGAAAGTTTAAATTAAAATGAGCAGGTGACCCTTTCGCAGATGCAGCAATATCGTAAAACTTACGAAAGCATGGCCACTTTTTAAAGAATCTAAATTCCTGCTCAATTGCGTTTTTCTATTTTCGCCGTCATCGGATTGAGTTGAAGTTTCTGAAACGAATTTTATTATATTAAATCTTCTATCACATTTTCCTAGTCGATACCTCGTGCTCTTTCTGACCTTTCTTTAACAGTCAGATTGAATAATGCTGGCGCTGATTCGGAAATACGTACGTTCGTCGAAATCACTGATGGAGTGGTACTCGTTGGTGTTTGTACGTCTGTCTCTTCATCAGAAGAATCATCATCGAAAATTAATAACTTGGGTTTGGATAGCTTTATGAAATAATGTTCATCACTTCCACCAAAATTCGAACATGGTAAAATGATTTTCATGTACATATTTGTTTACATTAAACATATATACTCACAGTGCTGACATTTATATGAAAGATTTTGCAAATTTGTTTTCTTTTAGTAATATTTTCTTAGAAATTTCAGCACAGAAGTAATTTATTTCTATATAAGTTTTAACAATTCTACTAAATTATTAATAAGAAATCAAACAAATATCAAAAAGTGAAGTGTTGCCGTCTGTGATCCGTCAACTTGTCTAAATTTTGAATATTTAAAAGTGCACAAACTTATTCCGGAATATTCAATCACGCCTAATCCCAGGCCACCATTACCGCATCAATGTTATGGCTTATTTAGACACGATAAAGCATTTTATTTCTAAAGAAAATATCTGTTTTGAAAATTTTAAAATGAATTTAAGTAAAATGAAGAGACTGACAATAAAAATGTGAAATAAGAGTCATTAATTTAAAACAAAAAACAAATTGTGCTTTTGCAATTCAAATCAAAAATTTCTTAAGCAAATCGTATATATTATCAATCCACCTCATTTCTATGCATTCGTCCGTCGTCTGAACCATTTACGAGAAGGGAATAAAGTTAATCTAGGTGCGCCCGCTGGAGTGAGCTAACAATAAGACGCACAAACTTTATTTTTGGGATTGAAGACAATATGCGTTTTAAAGTTTTTTGACGTTTTGTCAGCGCACCAGAAGTAGTGCTGGGAGGTAATCATGCAAACAGGCGATTATCACGCGATTTTTTTTTAGGACACAATTGATTATCGCCAAGAGGCTATTCAGTCCCCATCGTCTTCAGCTTTCCAAAACTTCTCCTCAAATTTTCCATTACAATGAATTAATAAATGAAAGAAACGTGAACAATGAAAGCCAAATTGACGCTTATTTACTTTGTGTCAACCTATATATGGTAAAGAAAACAAGCATGCAAAATGTAATGAATAGAAAATTATATAGAATTTGTGTTAGGCTTTATATAACTTAATTTAGCTCGATATTAAAAAAAAAATTTACCTACTTTTATCAATTTTTTTTTCTTTATCTTAATAGTTCAAGCACGTAGTTTGAGACACATTTCATTTTTTTTAAATTTTTGAATTAAAATTTATTTTTTTAACAGCCGTTTATTTACAAACGTAACTCTATGAGAGATTTGGAGAGATTTATCGTAACTTTGCTTGGTTTATATAAACTACTAATGTAACTTTTTTTCTCAGTGATAGCAACTTTATTGTCGCAAAATTTGACGTAACTGAAAATCCAAATTTGGGGATAACCGCCAGCCAATTTGCCCACATATAAACAGAATACAAAACAAGATCCAAAAAAGAAACTGTTTTACATCTGAGCCAAAACGAAATGTGTTGAGTAATTAAGTTTCAAATTTTAGAACGACAAAGTTCATTCAAAAACACTTTGGTCAGGTCGTATATAAACATTGAAGTTGCACAAATTTTCGTTAATTTAGAGATGTAAGCTATATCTCATTGGCTTAGTTCATATTTACCCCATATCCAAAAATGTTTAATTAACGGCCACTATATGAAAACAGGATTAAAGTGTTCTCAGTGTCGCAGTTAAACTTTTGTCACCGATTAGAAAATCTACACCATTTGTAGTTATTAATTTAAGGACATTTTTATACAGGGCGCTGTAGGGGAAATGGTCGAAATGGCAATCCCATCCAAACCATTTGCAATAGCGTCCATCCTTAGGACAAAACATATCCGTGTACCATCAAAATATGAGCTGTAGGTAGAACCCAAGAGAACAAGACGGATAGATCAGCAGACATTCACCCTCTAAGTCGTTCGGTATAATAAAAGGTGGTTCTTTCGTAAGCTCTTCGGGCTGTTACGTAAACCCGCATAAACTTGCTGCTCATAAATATATTATACAGGTCTTCTTCTTGCTGCTCATATTTTGTACAGGTCTTCTTGCTGCTCATAAATATATTGTACCGATGTTGTGGAATGTAAAGTTGTTGATGGAGTATTACACACGCACCGCTTAGTACAATCAAAATCGTATTTTCCGAAATGGACCCATCAACTCTGGCTCTGCGAAAATTTGTTTTGCTAGCGAGCGTTCTACACAAGATCTAAACAAACGACAAATGATGCTGAAACCTACTAATTTAACACATTGTCGGCACATATCTGCGGATGAAGTGCTATATTATAAACTTCACCCCACAAATTCGGGGAAAACTCTCTTAAAGCAAGAGGCTTCAATAAGTGTACGTGGTCTTACCCTATCTCATTATATGGAGGACTTGTTAACATCTGCAACCAGTAAAAACGCTGGCAAAGGTCGTCAGGGGCTGGGTGATAGGACGAATTAAATTAGACGTGATTGACATTTTTTAAATTGCTCTGAAACAAAACACCTCATGAACTCCATCGCAGAAGAACGGGTGCGAATTTATTGTATGTTGTCGTTGACCGGCATGCCAGAAATAAACTTTTCATTGTATACTTTTTTTGAACCTTTGCAATTCCAATTTGAGGAACGTCTAAATCTACGTAAAATGCATAATTGAGATCCGATACAAGTGCAAGAAACTCGACTTAACTTACAAAACAATACAGACCAGGAGACAACGTAGAATTTTCAGTTACCCTTAAAATGCTGTCGCAAACTAGTGCAGTGATTTTGTAAAAGTAAAAAATCGGGAATGCTTAAATATTTAGAAATAATACACTAAATATAAAGGAGTGAATTGAATCCACTGCAATATTAGATATAATTATAAAAGTTTTACAAAATTGAGGAATAATAACATAAAAAAACTATAAATAATTTACAATATTTTTAAATAGAAAATGAGGAGCGAATTTATCTAACCGAATTCAAAAAAATGCCTAAAGGAGTTGTCTATTCATCATATTGTGAAATACAATCAACGTAGAGTCTGGTTCAAGAACAGATACTCAATTAACGATAGTTTATATCGCGGGTTTTTAGGCAATTTGCGGAGCAGGGTTTTGGTTTAAGGCCGTGTCATTTCGTTCGACGACAGCGAATTCAAATTTCTCCAAGCGTTACATGCGTGAGTATTAAGTAGGCACTTAATTTCGAAGAAGCACTTCCCGTTGGTTGAGCTTTATCACATGTGTGGTATTTTTTTTCTGTTGAGTCCCTACATAGTTAGCAATTCAGAACTTATAGAATTTATAAAAATTGTCAATTTTTTTACGAAATTATTTAAGGCTAATCCTCGTCTCATTCATAACAGAGTTAAAGTTATTGTTCGAAAAATTGCAATTCCTGTGGCCAGAATTAGATCTCGAACTTATAAAAAATTATTCTATAAGGCCAAAACTCTGAAATAATAATATTCAACAAAATCTATGCACGTCGAAGCAAATTTAACTTTCATCGACCTTCAATATCGCATGCAATGTATTGTACACATACATAGTACAACTAAAATACATTTGTCAAAGTATATCAACGTGAAGGGTGGTGGGGAGGGAATGAAATCTGCAATTTTTTATCTGCAATCTTTTTCTCAATTTTACATTTTTTTACTTTTACTATATTATATGAAATTACTTTCGAAAATCCTGAAATTTTATATTCTTTATATAATTGTTTGTAAAATGCCTCTTATTTTTATCAAGAAATTGTTTGTATATTTGTTACTTATATTATGATTTCAGCCATATTATTGTAATTCATATATAAAATTAATATAAAAAAATTAATATAATAAATTTTTTTTGGATCCCAATCCATATAAGGGTTTAACAAAAAAAATGAAAATAACCAGCTAGGACGAGTTTAAGAAAACGTTCATTGCCGCTGATCCTTTTGGTGATTCCCTTTTATATTTCGTCCAATTTTTTTGATGTTCGCGAGTTCGCTGCTGTAGAATAAGGATGAGTTGTTGCCACGCCGCATTAGCTATTTACTTCACAGGACTTGTATACTAGAATATTCTTCTTAGAATATTATCACTGAAATTTATTGAAGCAATTGGTGAACATAAAGTTTAGAAATATCAATAGGTTGCTGTTCGAAATTTAGAAGTATTTCGTTCTTAATTGTTTTTTTATCCCTTGTATAATTTGCGTAAAAAGTTTAATTGAATTTAATTTACGTCTAGTTTTAACCGCGTGTTTTAACTCGACTTGTAAACAAAAATGCATTTAAATCGAATTGATTCGGGAAAGAATAAGGAAAAAACAAAGTGAAAATACTTTAACGCAAACAGGGAATTTTAAAGGATTAACGAAAGATGGAAATTCCATGCAAACTGCAAAATAATATTGACATTTTCAATTGTTACATTGCGCTACAGTAGTAGAACGTTTTTTAATATTTTTGCCCATAATATTGGCTTCATTGTCTGCTATCAATGTGCCGTTTTGTGTAGCTACTTATGGTGAGTTTATGTCATTACTTATCGATCGTACCGTTGCCATTGGCACACCTTCGACAACATTCTTCTTACCAATATATGTATATGTATATATAAAAAAAGAGGAAAGGGAGGGAAGAAAGAGAGAAGAGAAGATGTGGGTATAGCTGAGCTAGTCAGGCAGCGAAAAGCACAAGCCAGCTCCTACTTACGATATTCAGGTAATCGGTAAAGGTTTAAGAATGCTATGAGGAAAGTTTTCGGATGTACAATAGAAAACGTGATTAACTAATTGAATTATCTCGGAACATTAGGATCATTTCCGAGCTCTCTATGGCAAAATTGAAGTGATTTTGATATCCGATGACGATTCACAGGACTTCCACACAGGTCTTTTGGCGATTTTCTGTATCTAGAAGAATTTGTTTTTAGGATATGTAAACTCCCACAACCATAGCAAAATATACGCCTATCTGCTAGGAAGTCTTTGGAACAACGATTATTTTTTGAGCAGTTCCAACAAGCCATGGTTTTAATTTCATCGACAGTATCATCATCAAATTAATCCTCTTCGACTGCGAACTTTGAATATACTGATTTACTATTTATGATCTACTATTTATGTAACTCTTCATCCAAAAGCTCATCACTCAATACAAATGCTCTTAAACGCACTAGAGATGTAACTTTAAAAGGCAAGAGCTCTTTACGAATTTTCGGGCGTAAATTCGCTTTCCGAATTTCT